CAACTGTTACAGAGTGGGGGCAGTACCCAAACTATAGTCTAGTCAGGTGGCTCACGCAACAACAGAATAGGATTTTGACCATTTGTCTTGAGCAATCCCCCTTTAGTGGCTTATGAGACCAACTGCAATTCCATGGCACATCGCTGCATTGCCCTACATAAGGCGAAAGTACATCAAATCCTGCTACCAGGGCAAGGAAGCTCCCCTAAACTCCTAAACCCTGAACCCCTAAACCCTTCAACCCTAAACCCGTAACCCCTAAACCACGTAACCCGACAAGCTTCTGGTCCTCGCACAAGGCTCGCTCCAGATGTCGCCGGCGAACGGTGAGGTGCTTCTGAGCCAGGGCCATTTTATTGGGCGAAAGGGCAAAAGGTGGGATCTTGAGGGTGTAAGGTATAGGGGTTTAGGGCTCAGGGATTTAGGGTTTAGGGCTTAGGAACTGGGAAGGCGGAAGCAGTTTTCTGTTTAAGGTCAGGGACTTGGGGTTGAGGGATCTCCAGGTCTAAGGGTTTAGGGTTTAGGGTTATTAGGGCCCAGACGTCTGGAATAAGGGCTGAGGAACAAGGACCCGTTGACTCTTTCAGGTATCTTATGTCGAGGTATGACTCATGATGAGAATATATGGATTAGTCGTAGCAACCTCCATACAGCGCAAACAGCACAAAAGTTTTGAATTTCTACATCAATCCACCCCTGACGGGCTTTCAAGTTCTGAAGCCTGCCAAACCTATCAGCATATAACTCAAATTTTGATTCTTGTAGGCTTGACATGCTTTCTGCGTGAGCAGACCGTAACCGTAACCTGACAGAATACCTGTGTGTGCAACCGGCCGCAAGCATCAGAGATGCAAACTCACCCTAGCAGAATCGCTGACCTCCGCAGCACGGAAAATCATTCTGGCTTCGCAGCTTCAAGCGCTCGAATCATAACTCACACTCAAAAACCTCACACTAATATTGAGGTCCTTGACAGTTTCTTCGTTCTTCCTACTATATGGTTCTCATTTCCAGTGTCTCCTGCTGCCTTACCCAAATATTGCCATTTCGCTTATTCCTATTACCAGTATTTCTATCAGCCTCATGCTGCAGTTGTCACCGCTACCTGCCTGAGCTTGAAAGAAGCTTTGTTCGAATTTCTCGTAGTCGGCATTGCGCGACCTGAATGCAACTCACAAATCGGTAGGGGTACAAGACGCATTGCGGCAGGTGCAGAAGGCTCATCACTTTTAATTTCTAACAACACCGGCAGAAAATCCAAAAAGATGTCCTGAGCAGCGATCGCATGTCCAGCGAAAATGTCTACGATGAAGACCTACTCACAACTTGGTTGCTCTGTCCTGGGATTCCCGCAGTTGAACAGCTTCTTTTTGCCGAGGCGGTGGCACATCCTGGATGGTGCTTGATCTTCTTGCCACGTAGAGGTGAGGAATTTCGTGCTTCACTCAGCAGAGGAGAAAATGTAAGGTTCCATTCGTTATAGGTGTTCTAATGGCAATTTCAACTGCTGTTGCTAGCCCTCTTTGTCAAATCTGGTAGCACAGCTTTGGCTATTACAATGCAGGCGCCGTAACGAGCGCGCATTGCAGAAGAATGTTGTCAGCGGATACTGGATCATCTGGACGAAGCTACCAGCTCCTCGTCCTGCTAGGAGTAACGAAGATGACTGGCAGGGTAGTGCAAGACCCGAATGGCCGCTGGCGCTTCAAGCAGGACCTTGACAAGCAATCTCCTCTACCCAGCGGAGTTCTTCGGACTGGCTCCCAAGACAGTGATGCCTCTTTGGCAGCGCCAGACGACCTGATAAAGAACGATGCCTTTGCATGATGGGCTCCTGAGGCATGAACATGCATTGCACCTTGCAATTGCTCAAGTCCGACTGCCATTGCCAGACACCACCAAGCGTAGGACAATCCATACACAGCACACAAGTAAAACTTGAGGCATTGCAAAGTTACCACCAACGGAAAAGGTGTGCCAGCAGAATTGCACACCATCAACACGGATTGTGCAGTCGCCTTGCCGTCGTACACCCCGTGCTGATTGCGTGTTAGCCCCAATGATTATGGGCGGAGATGCCGCTTTGAGTCTCGCCTCAAGCCAGACACCCGGCCTCAACCAGTGTGAACAGCGAGGCAAAGACGCTCACGCCCATTTGCCTGAACCCCGCAACCTGACTCGAGTCAAAAGCAGAACAATGTGTACAAAATCAAATAAATTCAAAACGAAATTACGGAGATTGACGTCGTGGCGAATTTCAATTGACGTCGTTCTAAATTTCAATTCCGAAATTAGTTGGGTCGTTTCTGGGCCAGATAGGATGCTTTGGACTTTGAAGGCCTAGCTGGCCTGGATAGGGCCTTGGGCTCCAAAACTTTATTTGGCCCAAACAAGCAGCTTTTGGGCTGCAAATCTGTTTCTGGGCCATTTGGGCTGCTTTGGGCTCCAAGAGCCTAGCTGACCCAGATAACTTCATTGTTTTTTTGGGTCCACTCACGGTATTGAAGGAAGGTTCGCCAGAATGTGCACGACCCAAATAATTTTCGGGCCTACCTCGACCACTAGGAGATCTGGAAGTGTTTGGGTTCAGGTGAGGGGGTCCCAATAGAATCGCATTACATACAAAGCCGCGGTGCGACCCATACATCTGAAATTAGGCACGACCCAAATAATTTCGGAATTGAAATAAGAACGACGTCAATTGAAATTCGCGACGACGTCAATCTACCTAGTTTCCACTAGCGGCTGCACACTTCCTCAAGACCACAGGGGATGTCTGACATACTTGTTTTTGTTTGTAGTTTCTTAGATCTCTGGTTTATGTTCGTAACTAGATGCACGGGCTCAGCAACCCAAACGCAGGTGTGGGCCAAGGTCTGTACACTAGGAGGGACTGCAAAACTTTCTTAGTGAGCACTTTCGGATGCTTCACGGACAGTTTTTACATGCCCAGCCAACTAACCGCAAACACCGGCATCGAA